GTTTTTTACTCATATTGTGTGTTTGATAACCTGCTGCTGTAACGCCACAATTTCCCAGTTTAGGATCAATAAAGTCATTCTATTCTATTCTATTCTATTCTATTCTATTCTATCCAGAAGCAGCAGAGGGAGGATAATCTTTCCTTTCACTGAATCTCTATAGACAGATAGAATCTTTATTATCATTGTATACAAGGACACAACGAAACTTTGTGAGCAGCAATCTTAAACAGCAGCGTTTACAAAAACAACAACAACAACAATATATTTGTGGTGATATGAAAGAGAAGTATGCAAAAAGTGGCCAGAGCAATTTCTGTTCAGTGAATGAATGATAATAATAATAATAAATAAATAGACAGTTGTGGTGACTGAAAGAATATACACAGTTAATATTGTGCAGTAACTGATTAGGTAAACAAATATAGATATAGAGATATAGTGCAAATAAGGGAAGCTATTTGTTACTAGGGGGGCAGCATGCAGGCTGCAAGACACCAAACAAACAAACAAACAAACACAAACATGAGCTGCAGGAGCTTCAGGTGGTTTACAGTAAGAACATTAAGCTGCTCAGCAGGTTCAGATCCTGCAGAAACTTAAGAGTTATTTATCATCTGAAAGAAGAAGAAGAAGAAGAAGAAGAAGAAGAAGATGGAGATGAAGAAGGAGATGAAGATGAAGATGAAGAAGAAGAAGAAGAAGAAGAAGGAGATGAAGATGAAGAAGAAGAAGAAGAAGAAGAAGAAGAAGGAGAAGATGGAGATGAAGAAGGAGATGAAGATAAAGAAGAAGAAGAAGAAGAAGAAGGAGATGAAGATGAAGAAGAAGAAGAAGAAGAAGAAGAAGAAGGAGAAGATGGAGATGAAGAAGGAGATGAAGAAGGAGATGAAGAAGAAGAAGAAGAAGAAGAAGGAGAAGATGGAGATGAAGAAGGAGATGAAGAAGGAGATGAAGGAGAAGATGAAGATGAAGAAGAAGAAGAAGAAGGAGATGAAGATGAAGAAGAAGAAGAAGAAGAAGAAGGAGAAGATGGAGATGAAGAAGGAGATGAAGAAGAAGAAGAAGAAGGAGATGAAGAAGAAGAAGAAGAAGAAGAAGAAGAAGGAGAAGATGGAGATGAAGAAGGAGATGAAGATGGAGATGAAGATGAAGAAGGAGATGAAGATGAAGAACAAGAAGAAGAAGGAGATGAAGATGAAGAAGGAGATGAAGATGGAGATGAAGATGAAGATGAAGAAGAAGAAGGAGATGAAGATGAAGAAGAAGAAGAAGAAGAAGAAGATGGAGATGAAGAAGGAGATGAAGAAGGAGATGAAGATGAAGATGAAGAAGAAGAAGAAGAAGAAGGAGAAGATGGAGATGAAGAAGGAGATGAAGATGAAGAAGAAGAAGAAGAAGAAGATGGAGATGAAGATGAAGAAGAAGAAGAAGAAGGAGAAGATGGAGATGAAGAAGGAGATGAAGAAGGAGATGAAGATGAAGATGAAGAAGAAGAAGAAGAAGAAGGAGAAGATGGAGATGAAGAAGGAGATGAAGAAGGAGATGAAGATGAAGAAGAAGAAGGAGAAGATGGAGATGAAGAAGGAGAAGATGGAGATGAAGAAGGAGATGAAGAAGAAGATGAAGATGAAGATGAAGAAGGAGATGAAGAAGAAGAAGAAGAAGAAGATGAAGAAGAAGAAGATGAAGAAGAAGATGAAGATGAAGAAGAAGAAGAAGAAGAAGATGAAGAAGAAGATGAAGATGAAGATGAAGAAGGAGATGAAGAAGAAGGAGAAGATGGAGATGAAGATGAAGATGAAGATGAAGAAGAAGAAGAAGAAGGAGATGAAGAAGAAGATGAAGATGAAGATGAAGAAGGAGATGAAGAAGAAGGAGAAGATGGAGATGAAGATGAAGATGAAGATGAAGATGAAGATGAAGAAGAAGAAGAAGGAGAAGATGGAGATGAAGAAGGAGATGAAGAAGGAGATGAAGATGAAGAAGAAGAAGAAGGAGATGAAGAAGGAGATGAAGATGAAGAAGAAGAAGAAGGAGAAGATGGAGATGAAGAAGAAGAAGAAGATCTGCACAAAGTTAAACAAGAGGAACTTGTTTATCTACTCCTGCAGGAGTTTATCAACACGCGCTGCTTGACTTTATATCCAGTTTCAAACACAAACACAAACAACATGAAACATGAGAAGGAATCAAACAAGATGAAACATGAGAAGGAATCAAACAAGATGAAACATCAGAAGGAATCAAACAAGATGAAACATGAGAAGGAATCAAACAACATGAAACATCAGAAGGAATCAAACAAGATGAAACATGAGAAGGAATCAAACAAGATGAAACATGAGAAGGAATCAAACAAGATGAAACATCAGAAGGAATCAAACAAGATGAAACATGAGAAGGAATCAAACAAGATGAAACATCAGAAGGAATCAAACAAGATGAAACATCAGAAGGAATCAAACAAGATGAAACATGAGAAGGAATCAAACAAGATGAAACATGAGAAGGAATCAAACAAGATGAAACATCAGAAGGAATCAAACAAGATGAAACATGAGAAGGAATCAAACAAGATGAAACATGAGAAGGAATCAAACAACATGAAACATCAGAAGGAATCAAACAAGATGAAACATCAGAAGGAATCAAACAACATGAAACATCAGAAGGAATCAAACAAGATGAAACATCAGAAGGAATCAAACAAGATGAAACATCAGAAGGAATCAAACAGCTGATCGAAGTTTAAAGGTGAGCTAACTCTGTTGTTAGCATTGTTGTAGCTAACTTAGCTGTTGAAGTCGATCAGTATATTTAGTGTCGCTGCATGCCATCAGTCATAAAGCAGACAAAAAGATGATTAAACCAACGAACAATACAAACATTGTTTAAAAACATTAATCTGAACTGTTTAGTTAATGCTACAAACAGGTTAGCATGCTAGTAAAAACATGCTAGTGAGGAGCGCCGCTTGTGTTGCTAAATAATAATAATAATAATAATAATAATAATTCAGTTATTATAAAATGTGAGGGAGAACAGCTCCGATACAATGATTCTGGACATTTTTCACATAAGAAAACATGACTGTTTGCTACCTTTATAACATCCAGATGTGTAGCTACTGCATCTCCACCGCTGAAGCTAACAACAACATCCGGGTCCTCGCCCCCCCCCCGCCCCCAACCGGAAACTACAAACGGGGAGCGTTCAAGAACAGCGCAGCTCAGGGAAACTACAACAGTAAAGGTGACCCAGGTAAAGCAGAGGTGTTTGCTGACTTTTATCTCCTTCAGATTAAACTGTTCTTTATGTTTCTGTGTTCACCAAGAAAACGTTTTATATGTTTAATGTTTAGTACAGGAAGGGGCGTGTCCAGATTTGGGGCACTGACTGAAGTTTGTGGGCACACACATGCAAATTATTATTATTTTTCATTAATAAAATGTTCTTGTTAGTAACTTAATTTGACAATTCATCGCCTCAGCTTGATTCTTTAGGGACTCAAAAACAAAGATTATGTGCAAAGTCACAATTTTAACTTTTGTACTCTGTCTAATTTACCAAAAATAAATGTATTGTCAATTTAGTCCATTGGAAGTTAGACAGTTTGCACTTGAAAGTTGGATAGAGGGAGATGCAGGAAGAAGGAGACGGACAAACAGAGCAACAACAACAACAGGTAAGATAAATGTAAAGCTACAGCATCAGGTATAACGGTAACAGTTTGTGCAGCAGGAACATGAAGTGTGATAACAAACTGATCAGTCTGATATTGACGTTGACACCTGTAGTGATGATAAGACTGAGACGACTGGTTATGTTAATTACAGAGGTTGAAGTTGAGCAGCTCTAACATTCACTTTAATATTTATACAATAAAATCAAGAGATCAACACAGACTGTAAAACTCACTTTGAATAGATGTTTTTTTATTTATCTCAAAAGAAAGCTCTGAATAAAATACTGACCACCACACAATCAAGACGTTAATTCAAGTACAAATTTAACAGCGACAAACACACACAGATCATTGGTTTACTACAATCAGATAAAAACCTCAGCAGGGAGACAGACGGACAGTTTCAGACTACATCAGGAAAAAATAAACATCAGATCTCTGTGACGGAGGAAGAGGAACTCACTTTATGTTCTGTCAAATAATCATGAAATGTTCTTCAATAAGAAGCACGCACGCACACACACACACACACACACACACACACACACACACGCACACACACACACACGCACACGCACACACACACACACACACACACACCACACACACATTCCCTTTAGAGTAAGATTAATGATAAAACAAATCCAGCAACATTTTGAACAAACTTCACATTTTTAGAAACAGTTTAAAACTTGAAACGTTCTTTAAAAGCTCTCGAACCCCAACGTACAAAACGAGCGTCTCCGCCTTCAGCAACTTTTTTCTTTCATGTGCGCCGCCTACAGAAACTTCATTTCCAGGAATGTTCAGGAAAATATTTATGAAATGCAAAATAAAACTATAAATTCAGAGAAGTTTTGACCATTTTGAGGAACATAATAAATCTGGACATTTTCAGTCAGGACACATTAATGATGTCACTGATCATTCAGATCTGGTCAGACTGTGTGAGCTCCAGGGGCGTGTCCAGAGGGGCGGCATGGGCCCCCCCCCCAGAAATCTGATTGGCTTTCTGCCCTGTCGGAGGCGGGACTTTTGTTTAAACTAACTGCAGCAGGCTTCTCGTATTTTTCTTCACATATCTTTGTAGAATATATATTTTTTGTACTTTAAATTGTAAATAAAATCTTTGCACATCTATTTAATAAGACAGGATCATGGGGAAGTAAAGTAATCTGTCTTATTTACAATGAACTAACTGGCAACATGACTGTGCAGGAGTTTGCAAGCACTTTAAATTTTGACTTTGATCATAAATCTTCTTTTTGTGTCATTAGAACATTTAACTAAAGTTGTCTTTATCTGGTGTTATAAAGTAGATATGATTGGGTGAGGTAGGAAAGGGTTAATAATTCATATTTAATAGTGTTTGTTTGTGTGCTCGTCACACTTTAGGCCACTCCCTCAAAAGTCAGTTAGGACACGCCCCCGCTCAGCTCTTCAGCTGTCAGTGATGGGGTTCATTTCTCGCGCCTTGTTCCTCAGATGCCTCTTGCGCATTCTGATGATCCACTGGACGGACAGCTTGGCAAAGTTAGCGGCCTTGAAGAGCGCCATGAAGACGCCGCAGAGGATGGCCACGGAGCTCCAGGGGTTAGCAGTAACGATCTGATTGGAAGAGAGAGACAGATGGAGAGGGACACATGTCAGCATCTCTAAGGAAGAAGAGAGGTGAGAGGAATGTTGTGGACGTTACCAAGGGATAAAACTACATATTATGGGGCGCTGGTGGGCCAGTGGGTAGTGTGCGCGCCCCATGTACGGCCCGGGTTCGAATCCAGCCTGTGGCTCCTTTCCCGTATGTCATTCCCCACTCTCTCTCTCTCCCTGATATCTGACTCTATCCACTGTCCTGTCTCTCCATTAAAGGCACAAAAAAGCCCAAAAATAAATCTTTAAAAAAACCTATAAATTAATTGAAGTTATTTGTTCTTTTAGATGTTTTCTTCTCATCAAAGTGATGATGTGGAAAAATAGACGGTCAGTGGCGGGCTTGACCGGTGGTCCGCCCAGTCTGAGACCGGGACAAGACTACCACACTAGGTGAAGCGGCTTTGCACCAACAAATGGACTCAGTTCATTACAGATTGTTTGTGACCGGAGGCATAACGAGTATTCTGTCTTAAAATGAGTGTGATTCTAAATAAAATCATTTAAAAAGAAAAATAAATGTGTTTTTATAACTGAAGCAGAGCGATCACTTTGAGTAAGGATCGATTTCAGGACTCACCAGTTTGATTTCTTGCACATAAGGATCCCGCCATTCAAAGACGACAAAGAACAGCTGATTGGTTTGCTCCTCCTCCGGCCGCTTGTCGTTGAATTTCACCACAGCCGACTAGAAGAGGGAACACGCTTTGTGAAATCTGCTCCCGACATGTTGACGTTTACTCAACACGCTCGGAGGACATAGATACCTCTTGTCGAAACTCGACGGCCTCCTCGCTCTTCCCCGCCGTCTTCACTAAAGACATTTTGACCCAGGTTCTGAACCCTCCGGAGAAAGTCCACATGGAGTAATTCTTCTCGCAGTCCTTCATGAACACGGATTCATTCGCGCTAAAGAGACAGAAAAACAAAAACAGCAATCAGACGGGGTCGAAACACAAGGCGTCAGTTGAATATCGTCCAACTCAATCGACCTTTAAATGGCTGCTTCAGCTGTTTGCGGTTACCTGTCATTCAAGTCGCTGAACTTTGCAAAGAGCATGTAGGTGATGGCGCTGAAGTCCTCCTCGGTTTCATTGTGACTGAACTGCATGAAGATCAGCTCCTTCTTCCTGACGTCAGACGGGCCGCGGACGACCAGCGCTCTTTTCTGGGACCACAAAGGTGAGAAATCTGTGTTATATTTTGCACACAGGTACACAGGTGTGTGTGTTTCTGATTGGTGGAGCATGCATTGACAGGTCGATATGAGAGGAGGATAACAATGCTGACCACCTTTATTCCTGCGTCTTAATTTTTAATATAAAAGTTAAAAATTAGATATGAAAAAATGATAAATTAATCCATGACATTAAAGGCTTTATATGTGATGTTTTGATCCAGCAGATGTCGCCCTTGAGCACCAGCATGAAACCAAAACAACTCGCGCTGCATTGTTGTGTTAGCATGCTAATGTTAGCGATCTTTATTATGCTGGTATCTTCACACTGCATGTAAATTTACCTGAAATGAGCGTGATCTAGAAACACAGTTAAGCAGTGAGTACAGTATGTTATTCTTCTTTTCTCTAGTCCCTCAATTAAACAACTTTTATACACGAGGGGAGGAGTCAGCCGGCCGTCCTGGCGATGTAAACAAAGTGAAGATAGGACTCTGAAAACTCTGAAAACATCACAGACAGTGGGACTCGGGTGTTACACCCATTGTAGACAGTCATGACTCACAGAGTTATTTTCAGAGGAGAGACTTGATTTCTACATTTAAGTTTGAAAAATCACAAATAAAGACTTTAAGATTTCAACAGTCCAGGTTGTAACCCGCCAACTTCTACCTGTGTTGGGACTTATCTCAGCTGGGGCAACACCTGAAATGTAAGTAGAGCGTAAACTCCGTCCTGAACTAGAACTCATGCAGAGCTGCTGCGGCACGGTCCTGGTGCTTTATCATGTGACCTGCAGCTTTCTTCTGATTAAGCATTATGTGTCCTCTTTGTGTCTTCTTCACCTTTACTCCTTCAGCCATGGTCTCAGGTAAGAAGACCGACTCTAATATGACACTCAAGTTTCATGAAACACTAAAAACCGGATGCTCTTAAGGAAGGCGTTAAATTCTAAATGTGTGATTTTTTTGTCAACCTGTTGACTTCCTGTGATTCTCGTCTGTATAATCAGCTCTTCACTGACCTGTGTTAGATTGGAAAAGGGTCCAAAGTAAGTCACATCTTGATCACACAGTCTCCTTCCTGAGGCTTGCCTGGGTCCACTAGGGGGGGATGTAGTCGTGGAAGTGATGCCTGCAGCTCAACAGCTGAGCTTTGCCCGGTACAGAGCGATCCCTGCAGGTCAGAGGTCAGGAAGAAAAACAGGATTAACATCAAAACAGTCGAGGCAAACAGAGAGCAGAGTCGTTGGAGTAAAAGCTGTACAGACCTCAGGGAGTCGTTCCAAAGTCGAAGAGCCCGACAGCAGAAGCAGGATCACCTTCAGATTTAAGCCTCGACTTTGTAACGACCTGAAGAACCTCAGGTCATGAGGATCCTCTCGTGTGTGTGTGCTGCGTTATTTCTACAAACCTGGTGGTGAAAAGGATTCCACCTCCTTGTAGGTGACCGACATCACAGGGTTTCTGTATTTCTCCAGAAACTCGTTGATGGTCTGGTAGGCGAGGAAGATTGCCACCGCCGTCAGCAGCAGGTAGATGAAGATTGAGCACCACCGTGAAGACGTTCTTCAGAGCAGGCTTTACTGAACCGCATCGACGGACTGCTTCCCCTGATGTCGTCCTCTGTGGAGAGAAACAGACCAGTTTGTTCAGTAGAGCCAGCTGAGGTGGTTCAGGCGTCTGATTAGGATCCTCCTGGACGCCTCCCTCTTCTCGTTTCTGAGATAAGTGTGTTTTTTTTCCATGGTCACCTTGTGAGATGCTGCCGTTGAGCTCCTCTCGGTCCAGATCTTCAGCGGCATCGTCGAAATATTCTGGAGACCTCTTGTCATCGTGTCACCTTCATCGTTAAACTGTCGGGGTAAAGAATCAAACATCAAAGTAATCTAGATTTACTCTGATAGAAATGTGCGATAGTGGAGAAAGTGGAATAATGAGGATTGGCCAAACGGTTAAACGTCATCAACCTGGCTTGTCAGCACCAGATTTAACCC